CCCCCCCCCCCCACCCCCAAATAAAAACGTACCTTCCCTAATATCATTAAATTCCGAGCCACTGCTACTTGCAAGTGCAACTCTATTATATTAATTGCTCGTCCTGTGCCATGATCTCAGGGAAATAAACTTAGCGTGAGAAAAAAGAAATGGCTTACCGGCGGGACAAACGCGGCAAGCGAGCTGATTTTTCGCAGGGAACTTGTCCAACTCCACAAAGGTACCTTTAGGACACGGAAGACATCCTGTTCGCCCTGCCAGAGTTCCGTGATGACCAATAGTATTCTGATAAAATCCCCCTACGATAAACATCGGAGTAAGCAAATTACCCCAGAACATCCAGCGGTGTTTGCAATATACAATAACAAGCATGAAATAAATTCATACTAAGGACCCGTTCAAAATACGCCGGAGAAATTTGCAAACGCAGCTTTATTTCTAAGGTTAGGCCTACCGTCCACTTTAATCCGTCACAAAAACGGAGCTTTTCGAAAACGCTCTTCAAACCACAGGGAGCACACGATCTTGTTGAGTATGAACAGAGTTACAAAGGAATGAAAAGAATATACAATTTACCTTTGCCTACTGTTGTAATTTCTTACGTGACAACCGCTACCTACAAGTCCTTTGTAACACTGTAGCGCTTAAGCCGTACCTAGGCCTTTTCGCGCTCTCCATTTTTTTTTTGTTTTGTTTTGTTTTTTTTGTTTTTTGGTTTACATATAACATTGCCAAAGGAGGCAACTCTTTGCCCAAGTGACGGTACCAGTGACATCATCCAGCGCGCGCTCAAGCTCCCTTCCATCTCCCACACGTGTTTTTTGACACAACAAATCTTTACAAAATCCTTCTCAGCTCTCAATTTTAAGGGCGGAATCTTGCTAAAACGCTTCAGGTGTTTACCCGTGACATTTCATTTTCGTGCGGAGATCGGACGACCTTGCACGCGCAAGAAAAACTGCGAACCGGGGGAGGGGTTTGTAAAGATTTGTCGTGTCAAAAAGCATGTGTAGGAGAGGGAGGGGTAGCTCGAGCGCGCGCTGGATGACGCGATTAGTACCGGTTCAAGGGTACGATCATGTTGCGAAAAACGATTTGAGAAAAAACTTTGCTAAAGACGCTAAAACTTTTCCGACTGTCGTGAAAGTATTCCAAAACAAATTCGGCCAAGTTGTAGAAAAATCTTTCGACCTCGTTTTGTGTTTGTTTGGTTTCTTAGAAGGCACGGTATTTAGAGATTCGAGCAAATATTCAGATTATGTTCAAAACGTTCGGACAAAGAGTTGCCTCCCTTGTCAATGTTATTGCAAACCAAAAACAAAAAATGTGCAGTGCGCCAAAAGGCCTAGGTACGAGTTAAGCACTACAGTGTTACGTAAGACAAGTAGGTAGCGGTTGTCGCGTAAGAAATGACAAAAGTAGACAAAGGTTAATTGTATATTCTTTTCATTCCTTTATAACTCTCTTCATACTCAACAAGATCGGGTGCTCCCTGTGGTTAACTTTGCGTTTTAGTGTGGACGAAAAACATTTTGAGAAGGGAACATTTCGAACACGATGACCTCACAATAATCAAATTCAAAATGGCCGGCGATTGCTGTGTTTTTAAATTTCTCCAGGAGTGAAAAAAAGCCGTTTACAAATTTCTCCGGCGTAGTGTGGACGGGGCGTAAATTTTGATTATATATTATTTAGCATGAGAAGCGATGTGACGCAGACCGGATATGCATACAAATGAATCAGTCTAACGGAAGCCGTGTCTTATTCTAGCAAGTATACAGTACCTGCAGGACACTTCTGACAGATGTAGGAGCCGTTACTAACTCTTCGTTGGTAAGTTCCGAAATGGCATGGAGTACACACGTCATCGTTACACGTGAAGCCATTGCGTGATAAACCCTCTCGTAGTCGCTCGTCACGCGAGGCCTGGAACGTGTACATTTTATCCGTAGGAGCTCTGTCAAGAAAATACCAGGAGACACCTTAGTGTGTTTGACACAATTTTCAAATTTATCTTCCAAATTTACTCAAAAAGGGAAAAGGGAAGGTACGTAATTTGCTTCCCAAAACATCTTCCTGGTCACTAATATTTTTAACTGACGCTGTTGTCGAGATCTGGGGGGGGGGGGGTCACTTGGATGTCACCACCAGAGCCAGTGAGTGGTTTTCTCTTCAGAAGACTTACTCTCTCATGCTAAGACCTTCAATTGCTGCTCATTCAGTCCTTGCGGAAATAATTTGTTGTGTCAACTGTTAACATTTACGGCATTTGATATGGTCTGCCAACTGACAGCATTTTGACAAGCAAATGTCGTCATTTTTGACAGAATTCTTCATTTTTTTTTTCAGTTTTCTTGAGCTGTATTTAAGAAATAGAAAACATGTACCGTGTTTCTATCGAGTTGTAGAACAGGAGTGGAAGTTTAGGAGAAAGAGAAATGCTGTGGGAACACGAGCCGTAGGCGAGTGTTTCCACAGCTTTTTCGAGTTCTCCCAAACTTTCACGAATGTTTCTATAACTCGATAGAAACACGGAGAGCATGTCTTCTATTTCTTTTAGAAAACACCGCGACGGAAGAAAGGAAAACAACTTGTTAACTTTGACTATCAAAATGTAAATTCTCTTTGCTCGCGCCATCATTACGTTAACAGCTCGTGCTAGTTCTGTGTTTCTATCGAGTTATAGAAACACGATTTTTAACCAATCAGCGCACGTATTTTCTTAGGGCTGTTTTCTAATGTATAATAAATACCTTCCTAAATGTCAAGATCATTTTGGATCAATGTCCCATCAATTTAAGCTATTTTATATCTTTGAGAATATAGTGAAATCCACTATGGCTTAATTAATAATGTCGTATGATGACATATGACATAGGACCAGCAAGAAAACATCTGATCTTGGAGGAAACTGACCTGAAGGCTCTCTAGCATAGTTGTTTTTACTGCAAATGAGTGTTTTTACTTACATTACAAGTCCAACTTTTTTCTGCTGTCGAAATGTTTCCATCTTAACTCGTACAAGAGCTGTCTGTAGAATGTAGCTATGATTAAAATGCAATGACGATTACTTTCTGAAGCTTCGACCTGACTGCCTACATGATGGGTGACTAACTAACTGACTGACTGACTGACTGACTCACCGAACAACTGACTGACTAACAGACTGAATGACTGACTGACAGAATGACTGACCGACTGACCGACTGACCGACTGACCGACTGATTTACTGACCGACTGATTTAATGACTGACAGCTCAATTCATCGACCTGCCGACCAACCCGACTAACCCGCCTACCCACCCACTGAAACTGAATACTGAAAACCAAGCTTAAATAGAGCTTCATCCTATCATACTCCAGGCGGTACTTACATAAGAGATAAGTTAGCGAAGTCAATGTAGTTAAATGAGTCAGGTTCCAAAGACGTGAGCTCATGATTGTTAGATAGAGTCCTTCAGAATAACAATAGAGAATACTTCAGGGGTGACTTATTACAGGCTTTCAATTCTTATAGATAGCTATTTTCTCGTAACGCCACCCAACGTGGTTTGAAATACGACAGCGGTTGGAGTAAGCGAAACGCGTCGATCTAATCTGAGTTCGCATAATTCACTAAGTACACATGATTTTCTTTGCATTTCCGTACTGGGTCGACATGGTATCGATAAAGGATTTTATTCAAATGATTTCACATAAGTCAATCTATAAATTAGACTTAAACTAACGTTTGCGAATAACTAGTCACAAATACACCCAATTCATCGCTTGTTTGTTCGTTTGTTTGTTTTTGTTTGTTTGTTTGTTTGTTTGTTTGTTTGTTTTTTTCTTTTTTTTTACAAAGTCGAACAACTCGACATTTGAAAAAAGGTTTTGATCGATTCGTTCGGTCATTCATTGTCAGGTGATCAAGGTGGCAAATATTTCTTGTTTACACAGCAAAAGCTTATGTTTTCAATGCTGTACACATGGCCGTTCGGGCAGCTTGTAACTACATTTTCTTCGATACAGAATGAATACAGTTTCTATACAACGAATGTTCTAATTCTCCGACATTTTATTGGTTCTCTTTGTGACGATAATCCTTAGAAATGCTTAAGACTCTTAAGTGCTTTTTTTATGTTTGTTTGGTTATTTGTGTTTAAGTTTTGTTTTCGTTTGTCTAACGCAACGTTATCGGGATTTCTTTAATATAACTATTCAGACACGTTCTTTTATATATCAGAATTTCAGATCTATTTTGAAGCATATCTTTCCACCTAGTACAAGGCTTGTTTATAGATCAATTTAAGTTTAGATTTTCAATTTTGTTGACTTCAGTAATTTCTCTTTACAAGCTAGTACACATGCAAATGATACTCACAAGATATCAAGATTTGATGCCCCTTGGAAAGATTTCGGTCCAATTTTAGTAAGGTTATTGTTATTTAAAAACCTACAAACGTAAACGAAGCAAACATTGTTTACACCTGGACAAGACAATTCTTTCGCCCTGACATACTTCAAAGTTTGACTGAACAGTGCTGTGTGCGGTTTTCTAAGTGTACCGATCCCCACCTAGCTGGTAAAATTTCTAAAGATTTAAAGGGTGCATTTTCCTTCCTTGGTGAACAACAGTTGATGAGTATCTTGATCGTTGTTGCGCATTAGTTGGCTTACCTGTTCTTTTCTCCGTTTTGAATAATTATAGACAAAACTCACTACTGTCGGGCGCTTCCAACTGAGTTTAGATACTGCTGCTGCACAGTTATGTGAAGTCATTTTGCTACAAGAAAATATATCTTTAAAAAGGGATGTCATGACTTTGCATAGCCTCTGTACGTATGGGATTGGGTGTAGTTGATCAGGTCAAATGGATGCCTCGTGCCATGAATTATACGGGTGTTAAATATTACCTCTAAACATCACTGTGTCTTATTACCAAACGCTGTTAAACAAGAAGATAAAATATTAAATATACACTTACACATATCTGAGGCTTCCTGCGTTTTGGAAGAAGTTGTCAGGTATAGCGGTGATTTCGTTGTGTTGCAAAAACCTTCATGTCGAGAAAATAAAATATGGAGGTGTACTAATTTTCGCACGAGCCTGGACAAACCATGGTTTCTTTGATTTTGTTTAGTTCTATTGGTTCGAAGGCTTGTTTAAATACTCTAAACTTGTGCAACTAACTAACTTATGCAACTAACGGAAATAGAGAACTAACAACACATGTGCAGTGGGATACAATTTGATTATAGGCAAACTGTTTCGCGATGAATAAAGTATTCGAAATTTCGAATGTGGAACGCCAAGATGGACGTGCTGACGATATTGTCAGCGAAGTCTTTAAGAGAAAATATTGTAAACAAGAAAACAGCTTCTTGTCAATTTCGTGACATTTTTTCTAAAAGATTTAAGTTGTGTGATAGATCTCTTGCTTACCATCTACCAAGCTTGCTCGAGACCATACCGGAGAATATCTACCCGGCCCTCGGCCGTTTATTGTTCAGATCTTTCTGTGCTTCGACCGTACCGAGAAGAGACCTAGCCGATATTCTCCAAGTACGATGTACTCTTTTCTATATACCATGCACTTTTTGTTATTCACGATAAGCCCTCCACCGTTACTCTACGTTAAATTCAAAACTTGGCTTAAGATATAGTTGCAATTGACTGATCAGTGTTTCTTGAGTACTTTACTCACAAAAACTGCAGACTCTTTGCATCTTTCAACAAATGGGCGTTCAGTTTCGTCAGCTTGTTCATGCTGAGCCCGCTAAATACATTAAGAGAAGCATAATTATTTAATTATAAAGTTTCCGTTACGACAAACTTAGCAACATTGCATTCATACATGATTTTCAAAGCTCTAGATATTTCCTAGCTAGACAAACTAACACCCATTTGGAACTGGGCTACAATAGCTTTGAAAGACAGACACAGACTCGCGTTTAGTAAAGTGAACTCAGTTTTTTCTTTTCAGTATTCTTATTTATTTATTATCTTTATATCTTTTCTTTTACTCAAATACTTACTCCTAAGAGTACACTAGTTCGTAGAAAAGCCCTTTCATTCAACCGAAGTTTTCTTGTGATTCACAGCTACATTTGGTATTGTTTTCCATAACTGGAGATATCATAAACGTTTGATATTACTTGGTTGTCTAACTGTAATCAGTAAGCCTGCCACCTGTATACTTATTTATAACTCATGAGAATAAGGCATGCGGCGTTATATTTACTTCTGCATGCAAAAGTTGTGCAAGAAAACAGTGATACAGACAGTACTTTAAGGTGGATGAGGCCATGAAATATATTATGAGGAAGGTCCCAGATCATGTTGATAGACAGCCACCTGATAAAAGAAGGAAAATTGTGATTGCAAATAGTCAGTGTCGCATGATACTTTATATATAACGTAAAAATTGTAGTAAAACCCTTTTCTCCCTGTCCCCCTCCCCCGAAAGTAAGTAAAATAAGTCTCCCAGATCCCAGAAGCAGAGATCCCCACGATAATAAACCCCTCCCCCTCCTGGAAGAATGCCGATGGACTTGCTCTAGCGAAAATACGAATTATTTTAATTATACACATGTAAGTCCTGTATGGTATAGCTTGTTTTGCGTTTTACTTTGCTGCAATTTTTTCCACACGATGAACCTTCCTAATAGCTAGCTATTAGCCCAATCATTTTTGGCGTACAAAATTCCCTCCAAAAATATTTCCGCCTGTAAGACGAAATTGAAATGTGCTTTGCCATCGTCGTTTTGAACAGTCGCAATTGAAATGATTAAAAAAAAACTAGGCCCTAATGACTTGCTATTTTACTTGTATTTTATTTATGTTGTCACTCTTACAAATGCTTCAGGCTCGGCATGTCGTGGAAACTACCAGTTTCAAGCTTTGAAACCCTATTCTCACCGAGATACCTGAAGAAAAAAAATTGCAAACCAGGTTGAATTTCTCATTTTCGCGTTTTCCGCTCACACTTGCCACCATATTGACTTAAGGCGCAGAGGTGACAATGTCAAAATATAAATTGAATAACAGTTATATAATAAATCTGCAAATACAATTTAAGTAATAATTCTCATCTATTAAATATTTACTTAATGCTTATTTCATGAATATGCCTATTAAACAAGCAACAGTTACAGTGTTGAAAGTTTCTGCAGTCCGCTGAAAACTCCTCCTTTGATGGAACCAATTTGATTTCCTGACAAGTCCCTTGGGAAGGAGGAAAATTCATTTTAAAACACTCTTAAATCTCTGAAGAAAGTAACACTGGTCTTGTTGTCGCCAGAGATTAAAACTGATTAACTTTCCAACAGTCGATATTGCCGTCATCCCTCAACTTTAAGAACACTAGCTATCGTAATGTATTAAATTGTATCTCTTGTTTACGTTTCTGTTTTTGCTTTTGCAATTGTTGTTGTTGTTGTTGTTGTAGCTGTTGTGTTGTTGTTGTTGCGGTGGTGGTGGTGGTGGTGGTAATGGTGATAATGGAGTTGGCTATATATTCTATTAGGTTTCTGCTTACAAGACTTCCAATTTCATCAGATTGCTTAAAACACTGCTTGGAAGGTGGTCTATCATGTTCCTTGCCAGATTCCTAATAGACACAGAGAAGAATAAGATAAGAACAGACGGGATGGAGACAATACTTGTATCTTCCACAATGCACGCAGCAACATTCTTTCTGTTTGGGCTATTTCGCGTACAACTTGCTTGCATACAGTCGCAAGTTACATACACAATGAGATGAGGAAAACTACTATTATTTATATATATATTGCATGTAGTCCCGGGATTGTGTTAAATTCCAAGGAAGACATCGAATGGCATCAATGGTTTAAGAAACGTAAAATCGGATGAAACCGCAAACCAATTAGAGAAAATTATTAGTAAGATGGTAACAGCTGGACCAGCGAGATTAAATATAATTGATAAATTTTAAAATTCGGTAAAGCCACAAAATAAAAGAAAACCTCAAGAAAAGACATTTTTAACTTCTAATCACGTAACGTCAGTATGTCTGCTTTCGTCGCTGTTTAGTCTTCTTGGCGCATACATTATTATGCATGTGACGTATATCTATACCGAGCAAATGAAGATTATGGATGGGTGTTGAGAGATGTCGTCGTATTTCGGAACTTTTAATTTAGCTGGAAGAGATTTAAAATTTTACTTGTCTATTGTCAGCCCTGCACGTTATTTACTCTTAAAACTCGATTACTTAATACAAAGTGCTCATTGTAAGCACGCTTACAGGATTTTAACATTTCTTATTGTTGCCATATGTTTCCTTGTTATGCTTACAATCTTGTTGTCGGCGAAATTCCTGCAATCAATCAATGCGTAACTACGACATGGGCGTTTTATCAAACTAGATTATTCTAGTAAAACTACAAGAACGCCGCCATTTCGCTATTCATGCATTTTGATTCATCGTTAGTGCCAGTGGCGGATCCAAACCTTGAGCTAAAGGGGGAAGGGGGGCACGGTGGCCGGTTTTGTTTTGCTTGCCCAGAGGGCTTTTCTTCCTTCTGTAATTTCTTCTTTTTTAACCCAAAAGAGGGGGACCCGGGCCCCTCGGGTCCCTCCCCAAGATCCGCCACTGAGTGCTGATTAGTATCTAGATCGTGTTGATAATTTATAGAACTAGCAATGGATTGCACGAACTACATTGTAGCCGCGCAGCGTCATAAAGGCATGTTTTCTGTATAGCAGCCTTTGAAACAAACCTCGACATGCAGTCATTCTATGCGACTTTATGTTGCTCAGTGCTGGACGCGTTAGTAGATAATTGTAGTGTTACACATGAATGTTTGATTCTTAACTCCCAAAGCCTTAGCCAAAGTGAGAAATCTTTTGATGTGGACGAGAAGTCTTTTCATCTTTCAATATTGATCATTGTATGTACTTACACGTGAGTGCTCTCTTGTGGCACACCCGTAGGAACAAGCCAATAATTCTTGTTGGAGCAGTCAGTTTTCAAAAGGGAGGTGTCAGTCGGAGCCCTTGAACAATAGCAGTTGGACGGACAATCTACAGTTGGAATAAGATTACATGGTTTTCACAAAAAAAGAAAAGAAGAAAAAATATCTCACAGCAAAAAATATATTCAAAGGCTTATTACTCCTAATTACCAAACATCACATCACTACATATTTCTCTGTAAAGGGGTTGCGCACGTTTTGACCGCCTGTCATTTTTTCTGCGTTGAAACTGGTTAACTACGACAAAAAAAATACCAAAAGAGTTAATAATTGACCAAATAGAGAGAAAAAAAGGAAAACGATGGTCAAATTTGAGTATGAACATTCAGGTGGATTACCAGGAAGAATAAAGCTGAAAAATGCAACGTAAATTTCTTTAGGTGCCAACACTATCATCCGATCTTAACTTGAACAATCATTAGAGTAACTGATTCAGCTTCCTCCCTAGAAAAGCAGCTGTAAGAACAGATGACTCGAAAACGCCTCTTAGCGAGGCAGGAACCCTCAAGAAACTCAGAATATCTGTTTCAACGCGAAATGGCCTCTCAATCAGAGTGTATCAAGGTCTGACTCCTAGTGTAGGTGGGATATCGGGCGGATGTTTAACTACGGTTACCAAAGCATATAGAGGTTACTGAGGACTAATGTTACTTCTGGTGGATGGGTTCCCGGACTCCCGTTGTTTTCGGGTCATTCCGAAAATTTGCTAGTTTAGGGAGTGGAGGGAGGCACCGTCTTCAAAAACACACACAATACCATGACACGAGTGTCAAGTTTCAACACAAACCTAAGGCACCTGTCATTTGGATTCTCCATTTTCGTAAACACACATTGGTCTCTTTTACTAGTTGGGNGACCGACTGACCGACTGACCGACTGACCGACTGACCGACTGATTTACTGACCGACTGATTTAATGACTGACAGCTCAATTCATCGACCTGCCGACCAACCCGACTAACCCGCCTACCCACCCACTGAAACTGAATACTGAAAACCAAGCTTAAATAGAGCTTCATCCTATCATACTCCAGGCGGTACTTACATAAGAGATAAGTTAGCGAAGTCAATGTAGTTAAATGAGTCAGGTTCCAAAGACGTGAGCTCATGATTGTTAGATAGAGTCCTTCAGAATAACAATAGAGAATACTTCAGGGGTGACTTATTACAGGCTTTCAATTCTTATAGATAGCTATTTTCTCGTAACGCCACCCAACGTGGTTTGAAATACGACAGCGGTTGGAGTAAGCGAAACGCGTCGATCTAATCTGAGTTCGCATAATTCACTAAGTACACATGATTTTCTTTGCATTTCCGTACTGGGTCGACATGGTATCGATAAAGGATTTTATTCAAATGATTTCACATAAGTCAATCTATAAATTAGACTTAAACTAACGTTTGCGAATAACTAGTCACAAATACACCCAATTCATCGCTTGTTTGTTCGTTTGTTTGTTTTTGTTTGTTTGTTTTTTTCTTTTTTTTTTACAAAGTCGAACAACTCGACATTTGAAAAAAGGTTTTGATCGATTCGTTCGGTCATTCATTGTCAGGTGATCAAGGTGGCAAATATTTCTTGTTTACACAGCAAAAGCTTATGTTTTCAATGCTGTACACATGGCCGTTCGGGCAGCTTGTAACTACATTTTCTTCGATACAGAATGAATACAGTTTCTATACAACGAATGTTCTAATTCTCCGACATTTTATTGGTTCTCTTTGTGACGATAATCCTTAGAAATGCTTAAGACTCTTAAGTGCTTTTTTTATGTTTGTTTGGTTATTTGTGTTTAAGTTTTGTTTTCGTTTGTCTAACGCAACGTTATCGGGATTTCTTTAATATAACTATTCAGACACGTTCTTTTATATATCAGAATTTCAGATCTATTTTGAAGCATATCTTTCCACCTAGTACAAGGCTTGTTTATAGATCAATTTAAGTTTAGATTTTCAATTTTGTTGACTTCAGTAATTTCTCTTTACAAGCTAGTACACATGCAAATGATACTCACAAGATATCAAGATTTGATGCCCCTTGGAAAGATTTCGGTCCAATTTTAGTAAGGTTATTGTTATTTAAAAACCTACAAACGTAAACGAAGCAAACATTGTTTACACCTGGACAAGACAATTCTTTCGCCCTGACATACTTCAAAGTTTGACTGAACAGTGCTGTGTGCGGTTTTCTAAGTGTACCGATCCCCACCTAGCTGGTAAAATTTCTAAAGATTTAAAGGGTGCATTTTCCTTCCTTGGTGAACAACAGTTGATGAGTATCTTGATCGTTGTTGCGCATTAGTTGGCTTACCTGTTCTTTTCTCCGTTTTGAATAATTATAGACAAAACTCACTACTGTCGGGCGCTTCCAACTGAGTTTAGATACTGCTGCTGCACAGTTATGTGAAGTCATTTTGCTACAAGAAAATATATCTTTAAAAAGGGATGTCATGACTTTGCATAGCCTCTGTACGTATGGGATTGGGTGTAGTTGATCAGGTCAAATGGATGCCTCGTGCCATGAATTATACGGGTGTTAAATATTACCTCTAAACATCACTGTGTCTTATTACCAAACGCTGTTAAACAAGAAGATAAAATATTAAATATACACTTACACATATCTGAGGCTTCCTGCGTTTTGGAAGAAGTTGTCAGGTATAGCGGTGATTTCGTTGTGTTGCAAAAACCTTCATGTCGAGAAAATAAAATATGGAGGTGTACTAATTTTCGCACGAGCCTGGACAAACCATGGTTTCTTTGATTTTGTTTAGTTCTATTGGTTCGAAGGCTTGTTTAAATACTCTAAACTTGTGCAACTAACTAACTTATGCAACTAACGGAAATAGAGAACTAACAACACATGTGCAGTGGGATACAATTTGATTATAGGCAAACTGTTTCGCGATGAATAAAGTATTCGAAATTTCGAATGTGGAACGCCAAGATGGACGTGCTGACGATATTGTCAGCGAAGTCTTTAAGAGAAAATATTGTAAACAAGAAAACAGCTTCTTGTCAATTTCGTGACATTTTTTCTAAAAGATTTAAGTTGTGTGATAGATCTCTTGCTTACCATCTACCAAGCTTGCTCGAGACCATACCGGAGAATATCTACCCGGCCCTCGGCCGTTTATTGTTCAGATCTTTCTGTGCTTCGACCGTACCGAGAAGAGACCTAGCCGATATTCTCCAAGTACGATGTACTCTTTTCTATATACCATGCACTTTTTGTTATTCACGATAAGCCCTCCACCGTTACTCTACGTTAAATTCAAAACTTGGCTTAAGATATAGTTGCAATTGACTGATCAGTGTTTCTTGAGTACTTTACTCACAAAAACTGCAGACTCTTTGCATCTTTCAACAAATGGGCGTTCAGTTTCGTCAGCTTGTTCATGCTGAGCCCGCTAAATACATTAAGAGAAGCATAATTATTTAATTATAAAGTTTCCGTTACGACAAACTTAGCAACATTGCATTCATACATGATTTTCAAAGCTCTAGATATTTCCTAGCTAGACAAACTAACACCCATTTGGAACTGGGCTACAATAGCTTTGAAAGACAGACACAGACTCGCGTTTAGTAAAGTGAACTCAGTTTTTTCTTTTCAGTATTCTTATTTATTTATTATCTTTATATCTTTTCTTTTACTCAAATACTTACTCCTAAGAGTACACTAGTTCGTAGAAAAGCCCTTTCATTCAACCGAAGTTTTCTTGTGATTCACAGCTACATTTGGTATTGTTTTCCATAACTGGAGATATCATAAACGTTTGATATTACTTGGTTGTCTAACTGTAATCAGTAAGCCTGCCACCTGTATACTTATTTATAACTCATGAGAATAAGGCATGCGGCGTTATATTTACTTCTGCATGCAAAAGTTGTGCAAGAAAACAGTGATACAGACAGTACTTTAAGGTGGATGAGGCCATGAAATATATTATGAGGAAGGTCCCAGATCATGTTGATAGACAGCCACCTGATAAAAGAAGGAAAATTGTGATTGCAAATAGTCAGTGTCGCATGATACTTTATATATAACGTAAAAATTGTAGTAAAACCCTTTTCTCCCTGTCCCCCTCCCCCGAAAGTAAGTAAAATAAGTCTCCCAGATCCCAGAAGCAGAGATCCCCACGATAATAAACCCCTCCCCCTCCTGGAAGAATGCCGATGGACTTGCTCTAGCGAAAATACGAATTATTTTAATTATACACATGTAAGTCCTGTATGGTATAGCTTGTTTTGCGTTTTACTTTGCTGCAATTTTTTCCACACGATGAACCTTCCTAATAGCTAGCTATTAGCCCAATCATTTTTGGCGTACAAAATTCCCTCCAAAAATATTTCCGCCTGTAAGACGAAATTGAAATGTGCTTTGCCATCGTCGTTTTGAACAGTCGCAATTGAAATGATTAAAAAAAAACTAGGCCCTAATGACTTGCTATTTTACTTGTATTTTATTTATGTTGTCACTCTTACAAATGCTTCAGGCTCGGCATGTCGTGGAAACTACCAGTTTCAAGCTTTGAAACCCTATTCTCACCGAGATACCTGAAGAAAAAAAATTGCAAACCAGGTTGAATTTCTCATTTTCGCGTTTTCCGCTCACACTTGCCACCATATTGACTTAAGGCGCAGAGGTGACAATGTCAAAATATAAATTGAATAACAGTTATATAATAAATCTGCAAATACAATTTAAGTAATAATTCTCATCTATTAAATATTTACTTAATGCTTATTTCATGAATATGCCTATTAAACAAGCAACAGTTACAGTGTTGAAAGTTTCTGCAGTCCGCTGAAAACTCCTCCTTTGATGGAACCAATTTGATTTCCTGACAAGTCCCTTGGGAAGGAGGAAAATTCATTTTAAAACACTCTTAAATCTCTGAAGAAAGTAACACTGGTCTTGTTGTCGCCAGAGATTAAAACTGATTAACTTTCCAACAGTCGATATTGCCGTCATCCCTCAACTTTAAGAACACTAGCTATCGTAATGTATTAAATTGTATCTCTTGTTTACGTTTCTGTTTTTGCTTTTGCAATTGTTGTTGTTGTTGTTGTTGTAGCTGTTGTGTTGTTGTTGTTGCGGTGGTGGTGGTGGTGGTGGTAATGGTGATAATGGAGTTGGCTATATATTCTATTAGGTTTCTGCTTACAAGACTTCCAATTTCATCAGATTGCTTAAAACACTGCTTGGAAGGTGGTCTATCATGTTCCTTGCCAGATTCCTAATAGACACAGAGAAGAATAAGATAAGAACAGACGGGATGGAGACAATACTTGTATCTTCCACAATGCACGCAGCAACATTCTTTCTGTTTGGGCTATTTCGCGTACAACTTGCTTGCATACAGTCGCAAGTTACATACACAATGAGATGAGGAAAACTACTATTATTTATATATATATTGCATGTAGTCCCGGGATTGTGTTAAATTCCAAGGAAGACATCGAATGGCATCAATGGTTTAAGAAACGTAAAATCGGATGAAACCGCAAACCAATTAGAGAAAATTATTAGTAAGATGGTAACAGCTGGACCAGCGAGATTAAATATAATTGATAAATTTTAAAATTCGGTAAAGCCACAAAATAAAAGAAAACCTCAAGAAAAGACATTTTTAACTTCTAATCACGTAACGTCAGTATGTCTGCTTTCGTCGCTGTTTAGTCTTCTTGGCGCATACATTATTATGCATGTGACGTATATCTATACCGAGCAAATGAAGATTATGGATGGGTGTTGAGAGATGTCGTCGTATTTCGGAACTTTTAATTTAGCTGGAAGAGATTTAAAATTTTACTTGTCTATTGTCAGCCCTGCACGTTATTTACTCTTAAAACTCGATTACTTAATACAAAGTGCTCATTGTAAGCACGCTTACAGGATTTTAACATTTCTTATTGTTGCCATATGTTTCCTTGTTATGCTTACAATCTTGTTGTCGGCGAAATTCCTGCAATCAATCAATGCGTAACTACGACATGGGCGTTTTATCAAACTAGATTATTCTAGTAAAACTACAAGAACGCCGCCATTTCGCTATTCATGCATTTTGATTCATCGTTAGTGCCAGTGGCGGATCCAAACCTTGAGCTAAAGGGGGAAGGGGGGCACGGTGGCCGGTTTTGTTTTGCTTGCCCAGAGGGCTTTTCTTCCTTCTGTAATTTCTTCTTTTTTAACCCAAAAGAGGGGGACCCGGGCCCCTCGGGTCCCTCCCCAAGATCCGCCACTGAGTGCTGATTAGTATCTAGATCGTGTTGATAATTTATAGAACTAGCAATGGATTGCACGAACTACATTGTAGCCGCGCAGCGTCATAAAGGCATGTTTTCTGTATAGCAGCCTTTGAAACAAACCTCGACATGCAGTCATTCTATGCGACTTTATGTTGCTCAGTGCTGGACGCGTTAGTAGATAATTGTAGTGTTACACATGAATGTTTGATTCTTAACTCCCAAAGCCTTAGCCAAAGTGAGAAATCTTTTGATGTGGACGAGAAGTCTTTTCATCTTTCAATATTGATCATTGTATGTACTTACACGTGAGTGCTCTCTTGTGGCACACCCGTAGGAACAAGCCAATAATTCTTGTTGGAGCAGTCAGTTTTCAAAAGGGAGGTGTCAGTCGGAGCCCTTGAACAATAGCAGTTGGACGGACAATCTACAGTTGGAATAAGATTACATGGTTTTCACAAAAAAAGAAAAGAAGAAAAAATATCTCACAGCAAAAAATATATTCAAAGGCTTATTACTCCTAATTACCAAACATCACATCACTACATATTTCTCTGTAAAGGGGTTGCGCACGTTTTGACCGCCTGTCATTTTTTCTGCGTTGAAACTGGTTAACTACGACAAAAAAAATACCAAAAGAGTTAATAATTGACCAAATAGAGAGAAAAAAAGGAAAACGATGGTCAAATTTGAGTATGAACATTCAGGTGGATTACCAGGAAGAATAAAGCTGAAAAATGCAACGTNGACCGACTGACCGACTGACCGACTGACCGACTGACCGACTGATTTACTGACCGACTGATTTAATGACTGACAGCTCAATTCATCGACCTGCCGACCAACCCGACTAACCCGCCTACCCACCCACTGAAACTGAATACTGAAAACCAAGCTTAAATAGAGCTTCATCCTATCATACTCCAGGCGGTACTTACATAAGAGATAAGTTAGCGAAGTCAATGTAGTTAAATGAGTCAGGTTCCAAAGACGTGAGCTCATGATTGTTAGATAGAGTCCTTCAGAATAACAATAGAGAATACTTCAGGGGTGACTTATTACAGGCTTTCAATTCTTATAGATAGCTATTTTCTCGTAACGCCACCCAACGTGGTTTGAAATACGACAGCGGTTGGAGTAAGCGAAACGCGTCGATCTAATCTGAGTTCGCATAATTCACTAAGTACACATGATTTTCTTTGCATTTCCGTACTGGGTCGACATGGTATCGATAAAGGATTTTATTCAAATGATTTCACATAAGTCAATCTATAAATTAGACTTAAACTAACGTTTGCGAATAACTAGTCACAAATACACCCAATTCATCGCTTGTTTGTTCGTTTGTTTGTTTTTGTTTGTTTGTTTGTTTGTTTGTTTGTTTGTTTTTTTCTTTTTTTTTACAAAGTCGAACAACTCGACATTTGAAAAAAGGTTTTGATCGATTCGTTCGGTCATTCATTGTCAGGTGATCAAGGTGGCAAATATTTCTTGTTTACACAGCAAAAGCTTATGTTTTCAATGCTGTACACATGGCCGTTCGGGCAGCTTGTAACTACATTTTCTTCGATACAGAATGAATACAGTTTCTATACAACGAATGTTCTAATTCTCCGACATTTTATTGGTTCTCTTTGTGACGATAATCCTTAGAAATGCTTAAGACTCTTAAGTGCTTTTTTTATGTTTGTTTGGTTATTTGTGTTTAAGTTTTGTTTTCGTTTGTCTAACGCAACGTTATCGGGATTTCTTTAATATAACTATTCAGACACGTTCTTTTATATATCAGAATTTCAGATCTATTTTGAAGCATATCTTTCCACCTAGTACAAGGCTTGTTTATAGATCAATTTAAGTTTAGATTTTCAATTTTGTTGACTTCAGTAATTTCTCTTTACAAGCTAGTACACATGCAAATGATACTCACAAGATATCAAGATTTGATGCCCCTTGGAAAGATTTCGGTCCAATTTTAGTAAGGTTATTGTTATTTAAAAACCTACAAACGTAAACGAAGCAAACATTGTTTACACCTGGACAAGACAATTCTTTCGCCCTGACATACTTCAAAGTTTGACTGAACAGTGCTGTGTGCGGTTTTCTAAGTGTACCGATCCCCACCTAGCTGGTAAAATTTCTAAAGATTTAAAGGGTGCATTTTCCTTCCTTGGTGAACAACAGTTGATGAGTATCTTGATCGTTGTTGCGCATTAGTTGGCTTACCTGTTCTTTTCTCCGTTTTGAATAATTATAGACAAAACTCACTACTGTCGGGCGCTTCCAACTGAGTTTAGATACTGCTGCTGCACAGTTATGTGAAGTCATTTTGCTACAAGAAAATATATCTTTAAAAAGGGATGTCATGACTTTGCATAGCCTCTGTACGTATGGGATTGGGTGTAGTTGATCAGGTCAAATGGATGCCTCGTGCCATGAATTATACGGGTGTTAAATATTACCTCTAAACATCACTGTGTCTTATTACCAAACGCTGTTAAACAAGAAGATAAAATATTAAATATACACTTACACATATCTGAGGCTTCCTGCGTTTTGGAAGAAGTTGTCAGGTATAGCGGTGATTTCGTTGTGTTGCAAAAACCTTCATGTCGAGAAAATAAAATATGGAGGTGTACTAATTTTCGCACGAGCCTGGACAAACCATGGTTTCTTTGATTTTGTTTAGTTCTATTGGTTCGAAGGCTTGTTTAAATACTCTAAACTTGTGCAACTAACTAACTTATGCAACTAACGGAAATAGAGAACTAACAACACATGTGCAGTGGGATACAATTTGATTATAGGCAAACTGTTTCGCGATGGATAAAGTATTCGAAATTTCGAATGTGGAACGCCAAGATGGACGTGCTGACGATATTGTCAGCGAAGTCTTTAAGAGAAAATATTGTAAACAAGAAAACAGCTTCTTGTCAATTTCGTGACATTTTTTCTAAAAGATTTAAGTTGTGTGATAGATCTCTTGCTTACCATCTACCAAGCTTGCTCGAGACCATACCGGAGAATATCTACCCGGCCCTCGGCCGTTTATTGTTCAGATCTTTCTGTGCTTCGACCGTACCGAGAAGAGACCTAGCCGATATTCTCCAAGTACGATGTACTCTTTTCTATATACCATGCACTTTTTGTTATTCACGATAAGCCCTCCACCGTTACTCTACGTTAAATTCAAAACTTGGCTTAAGATATAGTTGCAATTGACTGATCAGTGTTTCTTGAGTACTTTACTCACAAAAACTGCAGACTCTTTGCATCTTTCAACAAATGGGCGTTCAGTTTCGTCAGCTTGTTCATGCTGAGCCCGCTAAATACATTAAGAGAAGCATAATTATTTAATTATAAAGTTTCCGTTACGACAAACTTAGCAACATTGCATTCATACATGATTTTCAAAGCTCTAGATATTTCCTAGCTAGACAAACTAACACCCATTTGGAACTGGGCTACAATAGCTTTGAAAGACAGACACAGACTCGCGTTTAGTAAAGTGAACTCAGTTTTTTCTTTTCAGTATTCTTATTTATTTATTATCTTTATATCTTTTCTTTTACTCAAATACTTACTCCTAAGAGTACACTAGTTCGTAGAAAAGCCCTTTCATTCAACCGAAGTTTTCTTGTGATTCACAGCTACATTTGGTATTGTTTTCCATAACTGGAGATATCATAAACGTTTGATATTACTTGGTTGTCTAACTGTAATCAGTAAGCCTGCCACCTGTATACTTATTTATAACTCATGAGAATAAGGCATGCGGCGTTATATTTACTTCTGCATGCAAAAGTTGTGCAAGAAAACAGTGATACAGACAGTACTTTAAGGTGGATGAGGCCATGAAATATATTATGAGGAAGGTCCCAGATCATGTTGATAGACAGCCACCTGATAAAAGAAGGAAAATTGTGATTGCAAATAGTCAGTGTCGCATGATACTTTATATATAACGTAAAAATTGTAGTAAAACCCTTTTCTCCCTGTCCCCCTCCCCCGAAAGTAAGTAAAATAAGTCTCCCAGATCCCAGAAGCAGAGATCCCCACGATAATAAACCCCTCCCCCTCCTGGAAGAATGCCGATGGACTTGCTCTAGCGAAAATACGAATTATTTTAATTATACACATGTAAGTCCTGTATGGTATAGCTTGTTTTGCGTTTTACTTTGCTGCAATTTTTTCCACACGATGAACCTTCCTAATAGCTAGCTATTAGCCCAATCATTTTTGGCGTACAAAATTCCCTCCAAAAATATTTCCGCCTGTAAGACGAAATTGAAATGTGCTTTGCCATCGTCGTTTTGAACAGTCGCAATTGAAATGATTAAAAAAAAACTAGGCCCTAATGACTTGCTATTTTACTTGTATTTTATTTATGTTGTCACTCTTACAAATGCTTCAGGCTCGGCATGTCGTGGAAACTACCAGTTTCAAGCTTTGAAACCCTATTCTCACCGAGATACCTGAAGAAAAAAAATTGCAAACCAGGTTGAATTTCTCATTTTCGCGTTTTCCGCTCACACTTGCCACCATATTGACTTAAGGCGCAGAGGTGACAATGTCAAAATATAAATTGAATAACAGTTATATAATAAATCTGCAAATACAATTTAAGTAATAATTCTCATCTATTAAATATTTACTTAATGCTTATTTCATGAATATGCCTATTAAACAAGCAACAGTTACAGTGTTGAAAGTTTCTGCAGTCCGCTGAAAACTCCTCCTTTGATGGAACCAATTTGATTTCCTGACAAGTCCCTTGGGAAGGAGGAAAATTCATTTTAAAACACTCTTAAATCTCTGAAGAAAGTAACACTGGTCTTGTTGTCGCCAGAGATTAAAACTGATTAACTTTCCAACAGTCGATATTGCCGTCATCCCTCAACTTTAAGAACACTAGCTATCGTAATGTATTAAATTGTATCTCTTGTTTACGTTTCTGTTTTTGCTTTTGCAATTGTTGTTGTTGTTGTTGTTGTAGCTGTTGTGTTGTTGTTGTTGCGGTGGTGGTGGTGGTGGTGGTAATGGTGATAATGGAGTTGGCTATATATTCTATTAGGTTTCTGCTTACAAGACTTCCAATTTCATCAGATTGCTTAAAACACTGCTTGGAAGGTGGTCTATCATGTTCCTTGCCAGATTCCTAATAGACACAGAGAAGAATAAGATAAGAACAGACGGGATGGAGACAATACTTGTATCTTCCACAATGCACGCAGCAACATTCTTTCTGTTTGGGCTATTTCGCGTACAACTTGCTTGCATACAGTCGCAAGTTACATACACAATGAGATGAGGAAAACTACTATTATTTATATATATATTGCATGTAGTCCCGGGATTGTGTTAAATTCCAAGGAAGACATCGAATGGCATCAATGGTTTAAGAAACGTAAAATCGGATGAAACCGCAAACCAATTAGAGAAAATTATTAGTAAGATGGTAACAGCTGGACCAGCGAGATTAAATATAATTGATAAATTTTAAAATTCGGTAAAGCCACAAAATAAAAGAAAACCTCAAGAAAAGACATTTTTAACTTCTAATCACGTAACGTCAGTATGTCTGCTTTCGTCGCTGTTTAGTCTTCTTGGCGCATACATTATTATGCATGTGACGTATATCTATACCGAGCAAATGAAGATTATGGATGGGTGTTGAGAGATGTCGTCGTATTTCGGAACTTTTAATTTAGCTGGAAGAGATTTAAAATTTTACTTGTCTATTGTCAGCCCTGCACGTTATTTACTCTTAAAACTCGATTACTTAATACAAAGTGCTCATTGTAAGCACGCTTACAGGATTTTAACATTTCTTATTGTTGCCATATGTTTCCTTGTTATGCTTACAATCTTGTTGTCGGCGAAATTCCTGCAATCAATCAATGCGTAACTACGACATGGGCGTTTTATCAAACTAGATTATTCTAGTAAAACTACAAGAACGCCGCCATTTCGCTATTCATGCATTTTGATTCATCGTTAGTGCCAGTGGCGGATCCAAACCTTGAGCTAAAGGGGGAAGGGGGGCATGGTGGCCGGTTTTGTTTTGCTTGCCCAGAGGTCTTTTCTTCCTTCTGTAATTTCTTCTTTTTTAACCCAAAAGAGGGGGACCCGGGCCCCTCGGGTCCCTCCCCAAGATCCGCCACTGAGTGCTGATTAGTATCTAGATCGTGTTGATAATTTATAGAACTAGCAATGGATTGCACGAACTACATTGTAGCCGCGCAGCGTCATAAAGGCATGTTTTCTGTATAGCAGCCTTTGAAACAAACCTCGACATGCAGTCATTCTATGCGACTTTATGTTGCTCAGTGCTGGACGCGTTAGTAGATAATTGTAGTGTTACACATGAATGTTTGATTCTTAACTCCCAAAGCCTTAGCCAAAGTGAGAAATCTTTTGATGTGGACGAGAAGTCTTTTCATCTTTCAATATTGATCATTGTATGTACTTACACGTGAGTGCTCTCTTGTGGCACACCCGTAGGAACAAGCCAATAATTCTTGTTGGAGCAGTCAGTTTTCAAAAGGGAGGTGTCAGTCGGAGCCCTTGAACAATAGCAGTTGGACGGACAATCTACAGTTGGAATAAGATTACATGGTTTTCACAAAAAAAGAAAAGAAGAAAAAATATCTCACAGCAAAAAATATATTCAAAGGCTTATTACTCCTAATTACCAAACATCACATCACTACATATTTCTCTGTAAAGGGGTTGCGCACGTTTTGACCGCCTGTCATTTTTTCTGCGTTGAAACTGGTTAACTACGACAAAAAAAATACCAAAAGAGTTAATAATTGACCAAATAGAGAGAAAAAAAGGAAAACGATGGTCAAATTTGAGTATGAACATTCAGGTGGATTACCAGGAAGAATAAAGCTGAAAAATGCAACGTAAATTTCTTTAGGTGCCAACACTATCATCCGATCTTAACTTGAACAATCATTAGAGTAACTGATTCAGCTTCCTCCCTAGAAAAGCAGCTGTAAGAACAGATGACTCGAAAACGCCTCTTAGCGAGGCAGGAACCCTCAAGAAACTCAGAATATCTGTTTCAACGCGAAATGGCCTCTCAATCAGAGTGTATCAAGGTCTGACTCCTAGTGTAGGTGGGATATCGGGCGGATGTTTAACTACGGTTACCAAAGCATATAGAGGTTACTGAGGACTAATGTTACTTCTGGTGGATGGGTTCCCGGACTCCCGTTGTTTTCGGGTCATTCCGAAAATTTGCTAGTTTAGGGAGTGGAGGGAGGCACCGTCTTCAAAAACACACACAATACCATGACACGAGTGTCAAGTTTCAACACAAACCTAAGGCACCTGTCATTTGGATTCTCCATTTTCGTAAACACACATTGGTCTCTTTTACTAGTTGGGTTTGAAGTAAATGGAGCTACATGACCTTTGGTTACGGCGGAATCGACCTTTTTCGCCTTTATATTCTTTAATTATATGTTGTTATTATTATTATTATTATTATTATTATTATTATTATTATTATTAT